TACATACAATTTTTTACAGTTTTTCTGAAGAGGTTTGTATTTCCTGCTTCCAAGGACTTAGACTGGCCCAAGATTGCCTAACTGGTTTTGTGCCTAAGGCAGGACTAGAACTCATGGTCCCCCATGAGTTTCCAGGTCTCTAGGTTAGTGCTGTAACCATACATTAAACTGACTCTCATAAATATTTATGTCAATATAAATAGCAATTTAAGTCTGCTTATTCAAAACTACATCCCTCTAAGTTTACTATTTATTCTCCAGTAAATGCATTTAAGATTAATAATAATATAGGAATCTTTGTGGATCTAGAAATTAAACCAAGGCTGAAACAAAAATACATTATATGAAAACAGGACCTGGACATCATATTTCTTAGAAATGTAAAGATATGTCTGTATATAATAAAAACATATTTATAAAATACAGTTCCTGATAAATAAGAAACTCAGCTTTTTATCATGGAGGAGCAAGAACTATATCAACCAACCCTTCCCAGTTTAGTAATTTTCACATCTTTTTATCTTTGAATGGTAGAAATTATAAGCCAGGATTTCTGGAAATTGTTAGTTAGAGATGAATGATATGTATTCATTTAAAAATTTATACAGCTTCCCATCTTCCAACCAACTCTGAGCAACTCCCAATCAAAAGTCTACTTTGAATTAGGCACAATCCCACTTCAATCAACACATAACACTGATTGGGATTATCAAACTTCTAAAAAATTCAATTATCATGTACTTTTAGTGAGATTCATATGCATTTTTTAAAAAGTATACTTCTTTCTTTCTCATAATATTGTTGAACTATTTTATTTATCATTCTAATAGACAGCAATATAATAGCTTCTTTCCGAGCTATTATATTATATACACGTTAGAAAATAACATAGTTGACTTTATACCTGCAACTTAGCTTTAGATGGATCATTTCCTGGGATTTTTAAGAATGTAGACTAGGATGGAAAACTGAACTATATCCTCCAAAAAGCCAATGGGAATATATTCTATATTGTTTCTAAATTGTATTATTACCAAGAAAACAATGTATGTGTCCATATAGTCACCAGATATCAAATTTGATAGCCACACATATCTATTTCTTATGTATATATGGTATTTTTGAAAAGTATACTTTAGTAATCTGAAAGTTCTATTCATATCATACTATGGTGTGTATATGTATGTATGTATATGTATATGTGTACACATTCACATTCACATATATATATGTACACATAAACTTTATAACACTTTAGACTTAGGTCACTGCAGTAGGTCATCAGCCATCCAGTGGTGGGATTCAGCCGGTTCGCACCAGTTCGGCAGAACCGGTAGCTACGGTAATTTTTTGTGGCCCAGGCCCAGAATGGACTTCCAGAAGCGGCATCCACACAGAGAACCGGTTGTTCACATATTTGAATCCCACCACTGCAGCCATCCTAACCATAGTTAAAAAACAGGACCTGCTCATTCTACAACCTGTGTCTCTACAGTGAAGTTCATACATTTTTTGAAAGAAAATTATTTTACAGTACCAGAAAAATGCAGCAGGCAAGTTGGTGAGATGAGATTTAGTGAAACCACTGGGATTTCTTTGTATTCTCCCTTCTACTCATCCTCCCAAGTCAATAGCTCAATGTAAATAGATCTTCCTTTCATATGTAGGATATGCTGGCTGGTCATATGCAGCCATAGCTAAGAAGAACAAACAGGTTACCTGAAAGAAAGCTTAAGATGAAATGGAAGATGGGTGATTAGGCTTGTGCTACATCACAGTTCTTTTATGCACCTATTGCTTATGCTTAAAGCAAGTGAGCTTGGAACAAATTTACCATATCAATAAAATATTAGAGGTCTTTTAGATAAGTGGTAGCTTTTAATATAACTAAAACTTCAACGGCCCTTCCCAGTGAGGGTCTTTTCCTATAGTCAGTTAGTTTACATACATCCACAATCCATCTCTCCATTATAAGGTAGAGAGATGAGGCTACTAAAGTTCACAGTCCCAACTGGAACAATATAGTGAAAAAACAAATGAAACAGATGTATCAGTTGAAGTTTTCACTTTGGAAATAACACTACCTAGCTGACTATGACAATAAAATGGAAGTGAAATTAGTTTAATTTTTTTTTGCTTAATTACAAAAGTAATTCTTGTAATTTAAGTAAAAACTGCTTAACTATTATAACATTACCAGGGACTTTTATAACCTTCAATATCAGTTTATCCAATTAAACAATCAGCTGCAAGTGTTAGGTCACATTTTGTTTTTCATGGCTTTTTCCTCCGTGCAACACTTTCTGAAATTGAATTAATTTAAAATAATGTTCAATACCAAGTCATATTCTTTTGATTTCTTGTTCTTAGAAAAATCCTTCATTGTCATTTGCGGCTCAATAATTAATATTCAAAATAAACTGCCTCTAAATAGATTTCTTCAGGTAGCATTTTCTTTCCATGAAACTTTTCATCTATTAAATCATCTAAAATAGTGGCTATTATTTTCAGACTGCACATCAGGATTCAACACTTTAATGCAGGGCTTTTTAATCAGTGGTATAGATACCACCTGTGGTACATTGGCACCTGGCAGGTGGTACACAACCATCCTAGAAAAGTGGTAGTGGGGGAGGGGAATGAGCTGAACCGGTGGCAGCACCGCACAAGCCTGAGCGAGAGATGGCTGGAGCTGCAGGGCTGTCGGGACTCAGCGGAAGCGCCAAGATCAGTGCTTCTTTGGGACTGTCAAGGTTCAGTGGAAGTGCCAGGATCAGCGCCAGGCTCCAGGTGGAGCTCGGTGCTGATCCTGGCACTTCTGCTGAGCCCAGAAGAAGCACCGATCAGCTGGAATGTTGCAGCATCTCCAGGGTCTTGTGGTTTACATTCAGATGCTTGGCAACTGATTCACATTTATGACGGTAACAGTGTCCCAGAGTCATGTAAAGTGACCAAAACCTGCTGCAACCACCCAGCAGAGGGGAATAAAAACCAAACATCCCCCACCCACACTGCCAATCCTCAACAGAAATGCTCACAACAATGAAAACCTCGGACAGGAGGAAGAGCGCCGCCGGGTGTGCAGGCAGTTGTCTTGCTCGGCTGTGGCTTGGGGGAACTTTCTTTCAGTGCCATTGTAACTTCGAACAGTCACTAAGCGAACTGTTGTAAGTCGAGGACTACCTGTACTTTATCAGTTTTTTTCCTTTTTTTTTTTGGTCATCAAGTTTTTGACACCTTGCTAGGCGACTAGTGGTACTCGGATGTTGCCATATCCTAAAAGTGGTACAATGGGTGAAAAAGTTGAAAAGCCCTGCTTTAATGCATCTGAACAAACATATATCTCTTCACACTGAGATCCCACTTATAGGCAGAGGGTAATGCAGAATGTTTCTCTAGCTTTCTGTGGATCGTTTCAGATGAGGAAGCACTTACCGGTATTTCATATAACTCAAGAAAAACCTTGCCACTTTGTTGTGATTCATAAATTGTTAGTTTATTTGGCATATTTGCATTTTTATCATTGGATGTTTATTCAAAAGTGTGTTAGCCAGTTGTAAGTACAGGTCTATAAGGTATAAATTACCCATTCTGTTCTATTTCCCTGACGTAGCTATTCTACAGGATTTCAGATCAGTTCTGCGTAGATGTAACTCATTCGTTTTTGCTGGGACTTATACCTCTAGTATTCTATTAAGGATCAAAGGTTTTGTTGCAGTAAAGGCAAAGGTTTTCCTGTCCAGTTGTGTCCTACTCTAGGGTGGTGCTCATCTCGTTTCTTGGCCAAGGGAGCAAGCGTTGTCAAAAAACATTTTCTGTGATCAAATGGCGAGCATGGCTATATGCCAGAGATGCAGGGAGCACTGTTACCTTCCCACCAAAGTGGTACCTATTAATCTACTCACATTTGCATGCTTTCGAACTGCTAGATGGGCAGGAGTGGGGGGAAATCAGATAATGCTGCTTGTTAAATACTTGACACTTTATTCTCATTTAGGCTTACTTCAGTGGATAGGCCTATAGAGTCTTTTGAAGTTTTACAACTTTGTTATTTAATCAATAATAAGTGAGATATTACATAGCTTCGTGCCAGTTTTTATTGTTAAGACTTTTCCCACAGTATCTCTTATAAACAATGTTCTCTTTTACACACATGATTTTCAAGATACTAGAAAACTAAGCCATTTCCTGAATAGGTGCCACCTCTTTCACACACAAGAGAAATCGAGACTTATATCTAATATATTCCTATCTCCAACCACTGTCATCATTTTTAAAGAAATTGAACAGACAATCTATTGATACAAAATAACATACACCAATCTGAGCTATTAGGGAAACAATCATGACAAATATACAGATGTAAGAATTTGGACTTTTGTGCAATGTACTTGATTATAGTTAGTCTTCAATAAGGGAATGGGACCTTGGTTACTCTCCTTTTGTATGACAACCTTCTAATTTCATACTCACTTAATACAATAGGACAGGTATTGTGCAACATCTGGGTATCAAAATAATGTTCATAACCATCCCTGGAGCACCCTCATGCATCCAGGCCTATTTTGTGTAATATTAGTATATCACTATTTCAGCTCTTATAACCACAGATATATGAGGCTAATGTACATGGCAGGAGCTTGTTTACCTGAGATCTATATGCTGGCAAGAAACTTACCTGTGCCAATGCAACATCCAATCACCATTATAATCATTGATCTGCCTTACATAAAATGGTGGAGGGGGGAGGCAGTCTTCTCCAAACTGGCTAGATTATGGGCAGAAACCACATTGGGGAAAATTACACTAAAGTGCTTCTTATGGTGGTTGTGACAGTGATATATAAAATAAAGACAGTAAAAGTTGGAACTCTACTTCCTTCAGGAGATTCTTTTGGACACTTGTAGGATGGTTTAGCAGGGGCCTTTCAGAGATTAGGAGCGCTTCCTACTCTCTGTCTAGGTGCGCTCTCCCTCCTTCCCCCGGCTCTTCTCGCTTACCCTGGCGGCGCGGGAAGAATAGGGGTCCTCGAAGAGCGCCCATATGCGCGGTTGGAGCTTCTTCCAGCGGCCGCCGTTCCCATCAAGAGGGGACCCGTTAGCAGAGGAAGACGAGGAGGCGCCCATAGCACCCATGTCCTCGACGCCCAAGCGCTTGGCGGCTAACTCGTAGTCGTCGGGGTCGCCAGGCGGCTCGCCGGTGATTAAGTCGGGCGCCTCGAAGATGTCCAGCGCCTCCTCAGCGTCGCGATGCTGCCTGTAGGTCATCCAACAGCAGGGCTCCACGTCGGTCTCGTCGATGCCCCAGAAAGCCAGCTCTTCCTCGAAAAGCGGCCCGCACACGTCGGCGGGGCAATGCAACTTCCCGGTGCGGTAGTAGTTGAGCACGTAGGCGAAGACCCCCGGGTGGCGGTCGAAGAAGAATTCGCAGCACGCGCCGCTCCCGCCACGTGTGACGCCACCGCCATTGGGGCGCGAACTCCAGCCGCTCCCGCCCACAGTATCCAGGGTGCCGCCGCCGCCGCCTCCAGGGTTGGGGAGCGGGTTCGGGGCGGGCAGAAGTGGCGGCTGATAGTGCTCCTCTCCGCCGCCAGGGGAGTCGCCTAGGGACTGGCAGGCGAGCAGAGCCAGTCGGGTGCCCGGCAGCGTTTTCAGGGTGCTCCGGTAGGTCTCGTGTCTGGTACCCCCGACATTGACGATCACCCTCTCGTTATCCTCGAGCTTCCCCATTTCTGTGGCTCAGACATGACTGCGGGCGAGAAGGAGAGAAGAGACAGGCAATGTGCAAGGCGCTTATTCTAAGGCCGCCTGTGGAAAGACAATAGACTACTAAGTGCCAAGGAATCCAGCGGGTGCGGGAGGAGAAAGGAATCTTCTCCCAATGCGTCCTATGGGGAAAGGGAAGGGATCTTTTAAAGGAAGTGCCCAACCCAGGAACAGGAACAATCCCAGACTCATAGCACTGGGAGCCCTCTTTCAACCTAGACACATCCTTTGGAAGCCGGCTCCAGCTTCTACCCACGGTCTCGCACATCAGAGAAATCGTCCCACTCTGGAATCTTCGTTTCCCCTTTCCCTTATCTTTCCGTTCTACACTCTTGTCCTTACCGCATCTCCTAATTTGCCCCTTCAAAGTTCTTTCCAAAGTGAGGATAGCAGGCAGGTTATTGGACCTCAGCAGCGATAAAGTTGCTCTACAACGACTCAGGAACAAACCTGGCACTCCTAATAGCTATTGTCCTGGGCAAAATTCAGCGCAGGGTCCTCACACTCCTGCAAAAGCATCCTTATTTAGCTTATTGCCAGGTGGCTTCTTTCCCTCATCCCTGTCTCCTCCTCTCCTTCCTGTTCCAATGATGGTCTGGACTCTTCCTATAAACGTGCGCCCGCCCACCCATTCCAATACAGTCAGAGCTAAAACGCTATTTCCCTTTAGCAGCCGTCAGCTTGGTCAACCTTACTCATATTTCGTTTTTGGAATTCTTGAGTTCAAGTTGCCATCTGCCCATCTTCTAATTTAAAAAAAAAAAACACCTCCAGAAGACACCGGAGCTTGACTGGTGACAAAAACAGTCTTTACGCCCCTCCCCAGCAAGTCGATCTGTGGGCACACCCTAAACAGGACCAATCTTGATGTAACCTTAGCAGCAGATTCCTATTGCCAACATCCTCACCAGATTTTATTTGTCAGTTGATTAACAGAAACATCCTATGATGGTCGCTCCCCCCTCCCCTATTTTCACATCCATCTCAATACCTTAATGACGGAGAGAAAGATTTTTCTTCACGTTCCAGCCGCTCTTTGTCCTTTCTCAGCTGCCTCCAGACTTCTTGTGTGTCCATATCAAACAAAGCATTCCTCCTTGTGTGGCTTTTCCGTCCATCTTCAGGTGTCCATTCCAGCGCCCTTGACTGCCAGCTCCGAACGCAATAAAAACAACCCCCACCTGCTGCTAGGAAACCTATCTTCTGTCCTTGTGCAAAATAGATGAGACACTTTAGCATCAGGCAGACAAAAATCATCACAAAAACATGGGGGATGGAAAGTGCATCAACAGAATGGACTCCCAGCAAAGGCAGGACTCATTGCTGCTTTAATCAAGCGACTCATCAGCTGGCCCCTGCTAGGACTCCAAGGTGAACCAGAAACGCGGCTCCTCGCTTTGCTTCCCTTTTTAAGAGACGGCGGAGGAAGGGAACTGTCTTTTCAGCACCACTCTCCAGCAATTACTATTCGTGATAGGGACTTTTTGCAATTCTTCTTTCTTTGGATAGTATAATTGCCAGAATCATTAAAAACAATCCTCCAAAAATTAAATACATACGAAAGCGCTCTAAAGAAAGCATCATCTCTCTTTTTTCCCCTTTACATACTGATTACACCAAAACAGAAGTATCTAATTTGATCTGATAGGATGAGCAAAAGTGACACTCAGCTACAGGTGAGAACGACACAGAGAACCTGAACACTTTGGCAGAATACTTATTGGTTTGACTGACCACCTTAACACTGAAGGAAACATCATGATTATGACAATGATGATGATGATATTTCTTTAGGTATCTGCTTCTGGTTTTACATCTCTATCCCACTGATCATGCAGACTAATTTATCTATAATATTCTAGCTATCCCTGTCAATAAATATCTTGCATCAACACAACCTACCAAAATGCTTAGGAATTCAAACTTAGTAGCATGCACTTAATGGTTCCAAAGTTCTAGTGAATCCTTTAGAAGTACCTTGAATTGAAGAATGCGATGAATGCTTTGACCTCCTTCAGAAAATGAAGAAAGAAATCACTGCATCACACAAATATATTTTTAAATATCTTTCAGTAATGGATCTGGAAAAAGATGCAATCATAAAAAAGGAGTACAATTCATTTATGATCATTTTTCTCTTTTGAGCAAGGTTCAGGGAATCTGAAGGAGGTCAGGCTGAGATGTGTGCTTCCCATTCAGATTCTAAAGTTAGACTTTCTTGTATTTGATAGGCATTTATCACTGTAAATCTCAAGAACTTTCTGAAGATAACTATGAAATATTTAAATGTACTACTATCTTTTACATACTCTCTCAACTGAAAATCAGTTTGATCTCCAAAGTAATCTCTGAGGTCTCCAAGATATCAAAGGAAATGTATATTTTCACTGAATAATGTAAATATACATAGGAGACACATTTGAAATGTCCCAAATAACCCTGCACCCAATAAAGTCTAGGGATGTATCTGCAATGCAGGCAACTTTGCATTGCTTAAATCAAATTTATATGTGTGTTTGTGTGTTCATTCCTTCCAGTTTTATTTTATTAGAAACACATTCTGTGACTGTATGAGATTTTTTTGATTAACCAGTCAGGCCCTGGGAAAAGATTTTCTTTTCTCTATATCAGCTTCTTTTTTTAAAAAAAAAATCTCATTAATGATGGATTTCGGAATTTTATTTGCAACTATAAAATTATTATTAAACTCTTTCTTGCATATTATGTTTTTTTCTTTCACTCTTATTAATGCTCAGGAAATCGAAACAGAATATATTTTAAAAACACAAATATTCTCCAGTCTCAGGTATCCATGAAGAATTAATACTACATGAGACTCCTACTACAGAGAATTCAGTGACAAATATTACTGAAAGATAGTTTAAAAGAATCTGCTTAGCACCTTTTTCATATTTGAAAACAAATTGAAATATGAAACACATTTGTAATAGTCTCTGTTCTACTGTATGTGAAATTCTATTAGCACAAAGTAAGTATATTTAAGTCATACATACACATGTACATGTTTATTAGTGTAAGTAAAAAAGGATAAAAAGGCAATGCATGATGTACAACTTTTTCCCCAGCACAATAAGCATTTCCCAATGTTACATGTCTTATTCTAATATTTTCAGCTTCATAATTCACTTCGTTGTCCACTTTGATTTTCTTTTGTGATTGTTTTTAAACTAGAAGCCTAGTGCAAAACAAACATTTTGAAAAGAAATGTGGAGCATTTTGAGTTCAGGAAATTATTTGGTATACCAACATTGAATGTAAGTCACAATGCTGCCATGCAAAATCCATCATTGCCAAAGATCTCCTTAATTTCTGCTGCTGTAGTTAAAACAATCAAAACTCACATCATTTGGATAATTGGTAGATCAAACCTCCTTTGAAAGATAACATCAAGAATGCATTGCTGAACTATTTTTGCTCTCAGGCATCCTTATGAAATATGTCAGTAACTATCAGTATCTGTGAAAAAGGTTGTGTCATCTTGCCCTTTCTCATATCTCTCTCAGGGCCTCTGATCCATCATGTTTTTGCTGAACAGAAATGTTACATATAAAAAAGTACAAGCTTAGTGAAGCAATTGATGTGTGGCACATGGAATTATTTTGTAGGCTGCCCGATAACTCTGTTCACATTCTTATACTTTATTTATTTTGAATTTCAATGGTTATTGTGGAGACATAACCTATTAAATATGTACTTTTAAGGCTACAATTTCTAATAGATGTTTGCCTGTGCTGAAATTCTTTAACTACAATACAATAACAATTTCTATAACTAAATTTCCTAAATATTGTCAAATATGAGGCTGAATATCTATACATCTTTATTTTCACTTGTGGAGCAATTCTAATTGTTCAGATATATACCTAAATATAAGAATGTGAACAAGATATAAAGAAATATGGCCATTCATGTTAGGTCCTTATTTATATTTGCTGCGTATTTAGGCATGAATTTCCTCACAGTAGGTGGGAACTATGAAGATCCTACTTTATAAAGTTTTAAGAAATAATTAAAATAAATGTCAAGGTTTTTGATAGACAAGACCAAACAAATCAGAACTCCAAGGCTTGAGATTTCCTCAAAGAGCATGTTTATTGGTTACATAGTATCGACACCATCAAAAGTGAAACCAAGCCTTTTTTGATATGAAAGATGAGTTGGAACTTATTGATGTTTGGCGTGAAAGGAATATAAATGACAGAGATTACACTTTTTATTCGGACAGACATCAATCATTTTCAAGGATTGACTTTATTTTAATTTCCAATGATCTTTTCTCCAGGGTCAAGAAGGTTAAGATTTTTCCTAGGACACTGTCGGATCATAGTCCTGTGTGATTGAAGTTATTTCTTGAAGATGGGAATAGAAGATCCTGGAGATTGAATGAGAATTTGTTCACTCGGGAGGAGTTTGTTCATAAATGTAAAGAACATTTGAAGGAATTTTTTGTTTTAACCATGATTAAGGGAACATCAATGCCTATGGTATAGGATGCTAGTAAAGCTTATATGAGGGGCATTTTGATTTATATGAATAATGTTTTTAGAGGTAATTTGACATGAATATGTAAAGAATTAGAAGAAAAGATTAAATTAAAAAAGAAGCTTTTGTTTTGAATCCAATGGATAATAGGTTAAAGGTTGCTATAAATACACTTAGGGCACAATTCAACATGTTGATGTCAGATCAGGTGGCGACAAATTTGCATTATATGAAATATAATACTTTTTGTAATGCAAATAAGCCTGGGAGATGGTTAGCTTATCAATTACGTAAGAAACAGAAAGCAAGAATTATAGAGAAAGTAAAATATAAAGGCACTGAGATTTTTCAACATAATTTGATTAAAAAGAGTTTTTTAGATTTTTATACAAAATTATATGCTAGTGATAATATACATGTTGCAGAAGTAGAAAAGTATTTACAATCAGTGCATTTTCCTAAACTTTCTAATGATCAACAAATTATGATGAATTCTCCAATCACTTCAGAGGAAATTGGTTTAGCTATTTTTTTTTTATTGAAAATTTTTTAAAAGCTTTTACAAAAACAAAAAAACAACAATAACAACAACAGAAATAACCAAAACAATACAACCCTCCCCCAACCCCTCCCAAACCACCCCCTCCCTCCCCCCCGAGCTTCCCAGAGCAGAGTATAGGCTTAATTAAAAAAATTAAACAAATTATAAGATAATTAACAATAAGATATATGTAAAAAAAAAGAAAAAAAGGGATATAAACGTTAAAAAGAAAAAGTGTTTAAAAAAGAAAAGCAAAGAAAGAAAAAACAGAGTTTATGTACAAGTTATGAAAAAGCTAAATGATATTTTTTCATATCCAATTTGAATTGTATAAAATTTATCCATTTTTCCCATACAGCATAAAATTTCTCTTGCGATTGCTCTTTTAGGAAAGCCGAAATCTTTGCCATTTCCGCCAAGTAAGATACTTTAAAAAACCACTTTTGCAAAGTAGGCAAAGATTCCTTCTTCCAATATTGCCCTACTAACAGCCTTGCGGCTGTGATTAAATTCAACATCAATATAACCTCCTTTGCATCACAATCAGTAACAATACCTAGCAAAAATAATTGTGGAGTAAATTTTACCCTCTTTCTAAAAATTCTCTGAATATTCCACCATATCTTAATCCAAAAAGCTTTTATATTTTTACACGACCACCAAATATGATAGTAAGTGGCATCCAAACAGCCACATCTCCAACATTTAGGCTGTAGGTCAGGATACATAAGAGACATTTTTTGTGGATCAAGGTGCCATCTGTAAAACATTTTATAAAAATTCTCCCTTAAATTCTGGGCTTGTGTAAATTTAACATTCCTCACCCAGATAGTTTCCCAGGTATCCAGTAGAACTGGTTCACCAAAATTCTGCGCCCATTTAATCAT